TTTATGAAAGAAACATGTAAATTCGTGCTTTGGTGGGAATGGATCAGGGCATAGGAAAAAAATTCATTCTTTTATTATCACATTTGAGGGCTTGATTGTGTTGATTGAAAGTAGATGCAGGAAAACAGTAACAGTTGCAGAGCTGTGACTACTTTGGTGTGGAGGACGCTGGCATCTCTGACAGTTGTCGTTGCAGACAATAGTGTCCATGAATGTTTTTATGTCCAGAAATTTGTCTTTTGATATGATTTTTGGGTCATTCTACAGAAACGTCCACTTTTCTATCTATCCATAGGAGTCACGGGTGTTACTGATCGTCATTGGTGTTACACATAAGACATTTTTTTGATGAAAAATGCATTTTACAAAATGGCTGCTACAGAACATCAAACCACCTGTTGTCCGTCATGGAATATCCACTAAAATATGGAATTTAACCCATTTGAATTCTATTTTTTACAATTACCTCAGAATGAAGTCGGTCACACCAGTGACTTCAGCTAAAAGCTTCATATGAAATCATGAGCTAAATGAGAAAATCTCTGATAACTGAAAGACACAGTGGACTCACCATGAGCTTTTCTTCATAGATCCTCAGAAAACAGGTAAAAGGAAGTCGAGTGATGTCATCAGTGTGACTTTTATTTCAAAATAATAGATTTTTGTTACGCGGTAACACCAGTGACACGACTCCTGGGGACAACAACTTTGATTATATATTTTATAATATTTATTTGGCATTTGTTTTCTTTGTCATTTAATTTATATATTCCATAGTCATGTATAGATTATTGTAGTTAAAATTGCAGAAAAAATGTGTTTTTTTCTTCAAAATATGGCCTCAGCCTTCACACATGACTGTGGGGACAAGCACTTCTGTGGTGCTTGGAATTCTATATAATTGATTTAAAAACCAATATTGCTAAATTGAGGATCAAGAAGGTGTAACTGTTAAAATAACGTATTATTTTATTTGAAAATGTAAAAAAAAATTGTAACCCTAACATGTTTTTTAAGTGTAATACATATATAAATGCTAGGGTCACAAAAAATGGACGTTTCTGTAGAATGACCCTTCTGCAGAAATCACAATCAGGAATTGCTCCAATTCTTGGGGCAGTTTTTCTGTACTGCAGCAACAAAGACCTTCCAGCATCATATAGCCCAAAACTGCACCAACTGAGATGGTATACTGCTAGATGCATGTGTGCTTACCCTGCAACTTATAGTTGGAGCAGACAGCCCTGTCAACACTCACCATCCTGGACAGAACTGTGATGGCAGTGGAGTCCTGCAAGTTCCTGGGCACAACAATCACCAGGGACCCGAAGTGAGACAGCAACATCGGCTCCATCATCAAGAGAGCCCAGCAGAGGATGTACTTCCTGCGTCAGCTGAGGAAGTTCAACCTGCCCCAGGAGCTGATGGTGCGGTTCTACACAGCCATCATAGAGTCTGTCATCACCACGTCCATCACAGTGTGGGGCAGCTCAGCCACCAAGCATGACCTCCACAGACTGCAGCGCATCATCAGGTCTGCAGAGAGGACAATTGGGGTTAAGCTGCCCACACTGCTGGAACTGCATACCGCTCTCACCCCGGATACCACCTGTTCCAGCTCCTTCCCTCAGGCCGGCGCTTCAGCCAGATGAGGATCAGGACATCCAGGCTACAGAGGAGCTTCTTCCCACAAGCCATCGCTCTCTTGAACAGTTAAAATATTACACAAAAACAATATTCCAGCTTCAAACTGCACTTCATAAATACTGGTATATAGTATCTAATTCAACTCCATCCTCTGGAACTGCCGCCTCAAACCAGTGTGTATTCTAGCATCTTACTTACCTGCCTTATTACCCCACTTATCGGACTGTCACCTCACTGATCCCTTTCTCTGCCACTATACACCCTTTAACTGCTGCTCCACTCAGCACTTTAACTTTAGACCCATACTTTGCACAATGTAAGGTTACAGGTATGACTGTGTGTGTGTGTTTGAGTGGGTGATGGTAGGAATGCATGTTTTATTTTATTTTATTTTATTTTTGTTATATTTTATATTTATTTTATTTTATTCACTACATGTAAATGTCTGTCTGGTACTGTGCACTGTGAGCTCCTGTAACCAAAACCAAATTCCTTGCATGCGTAATCATACCTGGCCAATAAAGCTTGGTTCTGATTCTGATTCTGATTCAAATGTTGAAACTGAGAGATTTTATTGTTTTTTGAAAAATATATGCCCATTTTGAATTTGATGCCAACAACACGTTCCAAAAAAGTTGGGACAGGGCCAACAAAAGGCTGGTAAAGTTGTGTAATGCTAAAAAAACACCTGGTGGTAAATTGTCAACCGGTCAGTAATATAAAAAAGCAACTCAGATTCTGATTCTGTAGTGGAAATCACTGCATGGGCTCAGAAACACTTCTGAAAAACTGGCCATGAAAACAGTTCGTCGCTGCATCCACAAATGCAAGTTAAAACTCTAAAACGCAAAGAAGAAACCAGATATACACAGGATCCAGAAACGCTGCCATCTTCTCTGGGCCTGAGCTCATTTAAAATGAACTGAGGCGAAGTGGCAAAGTGTCCTGTGGTCCGACGAATCAACATTTGAAATTCTTTTAGGAAATCATGGACACTGTGTCCTCTGGACTAAAAACCACTCAGATTGTTATCAGTGAACAGTTCAAAATCCAGTATCCATGACGGTATAGGGGGGCATTAGTGCACATGACTTGGGTGACGTGCACATCTGTGAAGGCACCATTAATTCTGAACAATATATACAGGTTTTGGCAACATATGCTGCCATCCAGACGACGTCTTTTTCAGGGAAGTCCTTGATTATTTCAGCAAGACAATGGCAAACCACATTCTGCATGTATTACAGCAGCATTGCTCCGTATTAAAAGAGTCCGGGTACTAAACTGGCCTGCCTGCAGTTCAGACCCAACTTTTTTAAGAACGTGTTGTTGGCATCAAATTCAAAACGGGCATATATTTTTCAAAAAAACAATACAATTTCTCAGTTTCAACATTGGATATGTTGTCTTTGTAGGATTTTCCTTTAAAAATATGGTTTACATGATTTGCATATCATTTCATCCTATTTTTATTTACATTCTGCACAGCGTCCCAGCTTTTTTGGAAATGGAGTTGTACATTATACGCTCAAGAATATTCCCTTCTAATTAGTGAATTCAGCATGTTAAGGTGCTCTCATTGCTGACACAAGTGTCCAGTTACGCATGCACAGTTTGTATAATGTCCAAAGAAATGCATTGCTAATGAAATAGGGCATTCTGGAGCTGCCACACCTGAGCCTTAGGTCACCATGCCCAATGCCGAGCATTGACTAGGGTTATAAAGCCGGGCTGTGAAGCTGTGGAACACGTTCAGGATGAGTTGGAGTGGCATTTGTGATCCAGCAATAATCATCCAACATCAGTAGCTGACCTCACTAATGCTATTGTGGCTGAATGCAATCAGTTCCAACATTTGGTGTGAAGTCTTCCCAGAAGAGTAGAGGCTGTTGGTGCATCAAAGGGAGGGCAAACTCCCTGTTAACTCCCTTGATTTTAGAAGAAAACTCGAAGAGCAGGTGTCTACAAACTTTAGGACATGTAATAAGTCTGGGATTTTAAAGGATTATATGGACCAGTCCAAGCTCGCCATACATACCTGGCCACTGTCAACATTAAGTGGCTCTCCAACAGTTTAGTTTATGAAAGAAACATGTAAATTCGTGCTTTGGTGGGAATGGATCAGGGCATAGGAAAAAAATTCATTCTTTTATTATCACATTTGAGGGCTTGATTGTGTTGGTTGAAAGTACGGGTAAGAAAACAGTAACAGTTGCAGTGCTGTGACTACTTTGGTGTCGAGGATGCTGGCATCTCTGACAGTTGTCGTTGTGGACGGTAGTGTCCATGAATGTATTTATGTCCAGAAATTTGTCTTTTGATATGATTTTTGGGTTATTCTACAGAAACGTCCACTTTTCTATCTATCCATAGTGTTGCTGATCGTCATTGGTGTTGCACATAAGAAAGACCACATGTTGTCAATCATGGAATATCCACTAAAATATGTCATTTAATCCATTTGTATTCTATTTTTTACAATTACCTCAGAATAAAGTCGGTCACACCAGTGACGTCAGCTAAAAGCTTCATATGAAATCATGAGCTGAATGAGAAAATCTCTGATAACTGAAAGACACAGTGGACTCACCATGTGCTTTTCTTCATAGATCCTCAGAAAATAGGTAAAAGGAAGTCAAGTGATGTCATCAGTGTGACTTTTATTTCAAAATAAGAGATTTTTTGTTATGCAGTAACACCAGTGACACGACTCCTGGGGACAACAACTTTTATTATATATTTTATAATATTTATTTGGCATTTGTTTTCTTTGTCATTTAATTTATATATTCCATAGTCATGTATAGATTATTGTAGTTAAAATTGCAGAAAAAATGTGTTTTTTTCTCCAAAATATGGCCTCAGCCTTTACACATGACTGTGGGGACAAGCACTTCTGTGGTGCTTAGAATTCTATATAATTGATTTAAAAACCAATATTGCTAAATTGAGGATCAAGAAGGTGTAACTGTTAAAATAACGTATTATTTTATTTGAAAATGTAAAAAAAAATTGTAACCCTAACATGTTTTTTAAGTGTAATACATATATAAATGCTAGGGTCACAAAAAATGGACGTTTCTGTAGAATGACCCTTCTGCAGAAATCACAATCAGGAATTGCTCCAATTCTTGGGGCAGTTTTTCTGTACTGCAGCAACAAAGACCTTCCAGCATCATATAGCCCAAAACTGCACCAACTGAGATGGTATACTGCTAGATGCATGTGTGCTTACCCTGCAACTTATAGTTGGAGCAGGCATTGCACGATATTGGTGAAATTCCTTACTGACACATTACTGTTCATCGTATGCATTCATTACCATCCCCTTTCCTCCGCTTTTCCCTCTGCAGTGACGGCTGGGCTGACCGCTATGACGTAACGGACGGCTACCAGAGAGAAGCGGCTGGCGGCATCACCATCAAACTACAGTCTGCCTACGTCACCTGGTTCGATGACTACTACTTAAACCTGCAGCCAGACACAAATCACCGTAACCCTTGGTTCCCTGAGTTCTGGCAGCACCGCTTCCAGTGTCGCCTCAAAGGCCACCCACAAGAGAACCCCAAATACAACCGCACCTGCACCAGTGAGTACAGCTTACACCTCACCTCGAAAAGCATTCAGTTCACTACAGCTATTTCACATTAAATCAAATCACACACACCTTCTAAGCCACTTATTCTTCTGGGTCATGGGGGGAGCTGGAGCCTATTCCAGCAGTCATGGGGTGGAAGGCAGGATACACCCTGGACAGGTCACCAGTCCATCACAGGGCAGACAGAAAGACAGACACATACATTCACACCCAGGGGCAATTTAGCATGTCCAGTTGGCCTGGCTGCATGTCTTTGGGAGGAAACCCACACAGACATGGGGAGAACATGCAACCTTCACACAGAAAGAACACTGGTTGGTCGCCCATCCAGGGAATCGAACCCAGACCTTTCTTGCTGTGAGGCGACAGCGCTACCCACTGCGCCACCGTGCCATAATAGGCATGTAGCCATATATAAATTTCACAATACAATATGACTTCAGTTTTTGATCGAGTTGCTAAGACCACAAAACTTGATGAAAGCATGATTTACACATTTTTTTAGATAAATAAGGTTATAGCTTAAATTTTGTAGGTGCAGTAGAAAAGACCTTTTTCTGACTTGCTTGTCTCTTTGAAGAATGTAATGGAGTGTTGAAGAGCTAATTATTCCAAATTTACGTGACCTGGGCTTAACTGGCCACGCTTTCTCAGCAACTCAGACTCGAATGGAATGATTTCTGACTTGTGACTGGACTCTGACTCCCCTTAACTGACTCGGTGCTTGACTTGAATTTGAGATTTCAACCTGAGAAGAAAACACGATGACCTCCAATATGAACCAAATTAATGGCTATATTAAACAAATTAATAAAGCCTTACATTTTCAATCTTACATGAGTAAATTTGTCTGTCTGTTTTGCTACGGTCATGCGAAGTCATTCCTGCACTGCCATTCTCCCGCGGCTCACAGGTTTGACAGGGCTTCATAAAACAAGCTTTCATTACTGAAAATAATTCACTGATGGACTGAAAAAATAACACAGACCAGCAGGCATTCAGTGCTGGTTTAGGCTGGCCTAAGCTGGTTTATACAGGATCTGGTGCTGGTTTAGCTGGTCACCCAACATGGACATGCCAGCATCAAAACACAACATATCGCTGCTGTCAGAACAAAACCTCGTATCTCCATTTTTGCTGTTTTTCAGTTTTTGACATAATTTGAAAATGCATGTTGTTCTTTATATTGGTTGCAAATTTTATGAAGAAAGGACCAAAAGAAACGACCCAAAATGACTTGGAAAGACGTCTGGTTCCATTGACTTACATTAAAAGTAAAGTGTGTTTTTCCTTCTCCTGTAAAGTTACCATTTTGGAGAAACAAGGTTTTGTTTTCCGACAACAGTGATATGTTGGTTTTGCTGGTGACCAGCCATGCTGGTCAATGCTTTTTTTTTTTACCAAGAAATAAAGTGCAAAACAGCTTGAAATAGTTGGCTAGCATGTAGTTAGATAGAAAGTATGTTAACCTGCATATCATGACATTTTATTTTGATTATACAGAGTACATGCTTTGTAGAGACCATTCATGAAAATTCTTATTTCTAATTTACTAAAAAGTTTTTTATTACAAATGATATTATTAGCATAACAATTTGAGTGAAAAGTGCTAATTTCATAGTATTTGGTATATCACTTTTGCTCTAATGATCCCCCAGTGTATACTGCACACTGTCTAGAATAATTCTCAGATCAATTCTCCATTCACCAGTGCATCCATCCAGCCTTTAACTGTACAGGCTGGTTTCCTGGACATGAATTAAGCCAGGACTTGAACTACAGTCCAAGCGAGCTGGAGTGAGTCCAGTGAACTGGAGTGACAATAGTGAATCACCACAGCATGTTTCTTTTTAGTCCAAGATTAGGCAAAACTGGCCCTAGATGAAGAGTTTTACTTGGGACATTTTTGAATGACCAGTTTTAAACCTCAGGTAACACCTCCTACTTTTCTCCCACCAGAAAAGGAGTCTCTCCGGCTGCACTACGCTCAGGACACTAAGATGGGCTTTGTCATCAATGCCATCTACAGCATGGCCTACGGCCTGCAAGCCATGCAGAAATCACTGTGCCCTGGCTATAAGGGCCTGTGCGAGGCCATGAGACCCATCGATGGCCGCAAGCTCCTAGAGTTCCTCATGAGGACCAACTTCACTGGTGTATCAGGAGAGGTGGTGCTGTTTGATGAGAACGGGGACTCTCCTGGGAGGTAAGACCGAAAGCAGTTCTTTCAGAGAACTGTAGCTGTAGTGGAATTCAGATTTGGGACTAAATCAACAGCAGCGCGAAGTTTTGTTTCACGTTCGACTGTGGCTGAATGGCCTGATCACTACAAACACTTTCATGTGTATACGGTTGTATGCAAAAGTTTAGGCACCCCTGGCCAAATGGCATATTTTGGTGACGTTTGAAGTGAAAAGACGTAAACTCAACAGTCTATTAAAAATCTGCAAATGTTAATATACAGTTATATAAATAAATAACTCCTTTGGTATATATTACCAGGGTGGTTTTGTTTTTGATGTGTCCTAAAATGCCTGTTTCTGGTGCATTCACATTGAAATATACAGTAAAAATAGCATTTGCATTCATAGATCTTTATAATCAATCAATAAATGCTTTAATGTACTGCACATCCTACATTAAAACACTAAGAGGTATAACATTGCTTCCATACATCAGGGGTTTTTGACTGATTTTGCAAATAAATCTAGGTCTCTCTCCAACCTGGGTATTGTCATTACAGACCTTATGATTATTAATGCTTTGATTAAACACCAATTCATAACAATTTAATTGAAATTTAAACCTCTGTGCTTAATTATTTTTTTAAATACAGACTATATTCTTTGCATGGAGAGCAGGAGAGGAACAGTCAGGTAAAAGAAACAAAATCTGGCTCTTTGAATATTTAAACAACATTGCTGAATTGGTTCATAAAATAAGAAGTATAGACATTTAATAAAAATGGAACCAAATGGCACTTTGATTAAAACTGCTTCTAACTAGTAAAATAAGATGGCAAAATCCAAATTTTTTCTTAACCAAAATGCTAAATTACATCTTTCATCTTTTGATCTAGTCAAAAATGTCCAGTATCCATTTGGTTTTATCTTAGATGAGTTGATATATTTTATAACTTTTATATTATATGTACATACTTTAATTTAGATTTTATATTACCTACCTAGCTTGGAATTAATGACAATGAGCTCAGAATTAGTCATTACCTTCCACTCGAGCTGCATTGGCTAACGTTCTAATTTATCATGGATGTTTTAATTTGAGCTCACTGATGGAAATTTTTAACAAAAAACGTGAATTTGCAAAAATATCAATTGCAGCTTTGAGAAAATTAGAAAGCAAACCACGACTTTTCTTGCCAGTTGTGATGTTTCTTGGCTGCTTTCATGTTCCAAACACACCAACTGTGTTACCCTGTGTTACCATGGAGACTTGGTAGCTGAGACTTAGTGGGCGGACTTTGCTGCACCATCACTTTCCATTGGCTGAATGTGCTGTGGGTTGAATGTGAGGTGCATTTAACAGACACTTTTGAAAACAGCAAAACAACTATACACGATTTTCCTTTGAACATAGTTCTTCAAAATCTGAGCTGGAACGCTGTTCAGTCCCGGCTTTTACTCCCAGGATGTGGTTCCTATGCGTTCCGGGCCGTTTTTACCCCTGGATATCAGAGCTTACAAACACTTTTTGCAGCCAGCTATGTCTTTCTGTTCTTGTTTTAGGAATTTTCACCCAATCTTGCAAGCAATTCTGTGATATTCTTAGGCCAGCTAAGATAACATATACACAGCATGTTTAAAATCACAGCTGTTTAGAGATTATGTTTATTTCTTTTAAATTAAAAAATCAATAACATGTAATTCGGACAGGTGTGCCCAAACTTTTGCATAGACCTGTGGATACTCAAAGAACCATTTGAATGTATTGATGGTTCTTTGTATGGTTAAATACATCATCTTTATTATGCAAAGCGTGGTGTTCAGGGTTCTTTAGAGAACCCATTTTTTGCTGCAGAAGTCTTATTTTCTTCTCTTCAATTCAAAAATCAACAAATCATGTAATTTGGCTGGGGTGCCTAAACCTTTGCATGTATGTACGCTTATACATGTGCTTATATGCATGTCATTGTCATAAGTAAATGAACAGAAACAGTTCAGAATCACTCAGAATAGAATCAAATCACATGACCTTCCTTCTCCTATACAGAGACCATTTCAGAGACACGCCGTTTTCTTAACGGTTCTGTGTTTAACATGGCCATGTTCGTATATGCGTTCGCTTTTAGATATGAGATCATGAACTTTAAACAGATGAGTGAGGAAGATTACAGCTACATCCATGTGGGCAGCTGGGATAACAGAGGGCTGAAGATGGACGATGAGGAGATTTGGGCCAACAGCAGCGCCATCATCCGCTCCGTCTGCAGCGACCCCTGTGAGAAAGCTCAGATTAAGGTGAGAAAAGTTGTGATTGAAGGTGTAAATCTCTGACCTCACGATGATTCAGTGCATTTTTAATCATGAAACGTTTACTCAGGCATCTTCCTTAACTTTCCCAATATCCTTTTCTGAGCTGAGAAGGAAGAAAAATAGGAAAAGGTTAATTCCATAAATATGACACTGGGGCAGTTTTCCCAATCAGATAAAGTCTTGAGAAAATGAGAAATTATAAATCCCTTTGATCTGCAGCCCTCTATTACCAGCAGGTAAGCAGCCTAGCCAATGCAGCTCTCAGGCATTCACTAAACTGTAAAAAAGCTGCGGTAAATTTAGAGAAATGCTTCCTTAAATTCAGCAGATTGCTGTGAAAAATAGGTGCGTTCTTGTAGACACAGCTCCAGCTACATGTTAAAGAGGTTAAAATACTGGATTTTACAGTGATTAGTCGTTATTTGCAGCACATTTAGGGAGTGTGACTGTTAGTTACTGCAGTTTTGAGCAGTCTGTCTTTGAATGTGGTAGCATTGGGAGTGGAGCTTCCAAGCATCCTTTGCAGTTTTCCTAGTTTCAGTTAACGGTACGTCAATTCTAGCCTTCATAACTTCATAACTTCAGAACGATTCAAACATGATCCACATATCAGGACATTCAGCAGACCCGCTACTAACTAGCATGACTTCATCGAGTTGTGACGTCAGCATCAGTGAGCAATTCGGCTTGGAAAATCACCCAAAATCCTGATATTATCCAACAAAGGGTTAAAACAGTGACATGATTCACACATCAGATCACTCATCAGACTCTGCCTCACCATCCAGAGTGATTTCATTCACCTGTGACCGTCCATCAGCCAGAAATCCAGCTCCAAAACCACCCAAACACACTCGCTACTGTTATGTTACATCTCTGCTTTTAGTCTTCATATTATAAACAAAGGGCTTTCGGTTTACATTGATTTTGAGTATTAAAATCTGATATTAAATATGAAACTCAATTTATAATTAAAAATAAAGCCTGTCTTGCTGTGTATCAGAGTTTTAGGACTCAGCATGAATCCAAGAGGACAGAAAATCAATAAAAACATGTCTCCCTTATACTAATTATGTATTTCTACTCATAATAACCAATAGAATGAATCAACATCAGAATTATTGCACTTTCAGCTCACAGACACTCCAGATGAGCAATTTCTGAAAAGATAACTTCAACTGCACTTGTTTTCAAGATCTCTTTAATTTAAAAAATACTAAATTTAGCAGCCGCTGGGTAAATTTTTGATCAGAAATGACCCAAATTCATAAAGATATCACATTTCTGTCAGCATTAACATGTCAAACAATGGCATATCTGAGCAGCCCAGAGTCTCCTGATAATAACAACAGTGTGACTGTCACATGTAAATACTTTATAATTGCAATTGTAACTGACCCAAAAAATACCAATAAAAGTCCCCAAAAATTTAGGTTTCTAAGCGTTAATAAGCTTTTATTTTTTATCTTTAGGTCCTTTTCATATGGGTTTATTGTGTAAACCATGAAGATGTTTTGTGTTTCAGTTAACTAATTCATATAAAATAGACACTGAGTGTCTAAAGACTCAAGCTTTGTGATCTGGCCTGTAACTGTCATAACGTCTTGTGTGTCTGATGTGTGCTTGCTAAACAGTCTTGTAATTACTAATTATAAATAATATTCAATTATCATAATTAACTGTCATCCAATCTGAAAACAAGTCCCTCTCTGGCTAAACTGTAATTGAGTCAAAGGCAGTTGCTTTTCTTCACACATATACTTGTGCAGAAGTTAAAGGATCATAAATAAAATCCACCAAATTGTTGCTTAAGAACATAAAAGTGAGTAAATATAACTATTACTAATGTATCTCTGGTAATATTGCATTTATCAGGATTTTGCTTGCTTTCAGAATCCCAGTTCAGCTAATGAGGAGCTTGATAGCTTGATAACTATTCAGTCAATATTATTTATTTCAAGTCTTTGCCATTAATATTAAATCAATACTGGTTACAGTGCGTTATCACTGAGTTTTCCTCTTATCCAAGGTCATCCGGAAAGGCGAGGTGAGCTGCTGCTGGACCTGCACTCCTTGCAAAGAGAACGAGTTTGTGTTTGATGAGTACACTTGCCGAGCCTGTGAGTTGGGATCCTGGCCAACCGACGATCTCACAGGTGAGTCAACATCTTGCACCAGACAGCATAACCTACAGCAGGAGTTCTAGTTTAGAGCAGCCGTGGCCAAAGGTGGGCAGATTCGCCCAAACACAAAGCCTAGTAAAGATACTGCTTAGTGCTCTTCAATGAAAGGATGATCAGGAGTGAAATAAAGGATCATGTCAAAAACAGTCCAGGTGCTGAATCCTCAGAACACAATGAAATTCAACCCATAAAAGGATCTAATAACCAATGCCAGAGCGGGTGATCAGGAGACTCTGGACCATTCCCGGTAGCATTTTGAGCAGGTTACTATGATGTATAAACTCATGCATAAGCACAAGAAACTATACCTGTTACATTTGTGTAACTGTTACATTTGTAGTAATTTGGGTGGTAAACCAGCTGCCCCATCCTCAAGTAGTGCTGCCCTGGTTTGCTAGTGTAACAGAGGCTTTTACAGTGGATAGAGATTAGATGAAGCTCAAGTTCGCTTCTTATGCTCAGTTCCTTTCTCAACTTAAATGATGTGGCAGTTACATCCAGACAACTGTTGAGCACTAGTGATTGTTAAAAGGATTATCAATAAAATTCACCAAATTGTTTCTTAAGTACATATAAGTGAGTAAATATAACTAATACCGACTTATCTCTGGTAATATTGCATTCATTAGTTTGCTTTAAGAATCCCAGTTTCAGCTAATGAGGAGCTTGATAGCTTGTTAATGATTTAGTCAATATTATTTTGTTCAAGTCTTTGAGCAGAGAAAACACTAAATCTTTAAATAAAGACTGTAATGCAAAGTTGTCTCAACTGAATTTGTGCATTGGGTTTGCTCAGATATGCTATGCTCTTATCTAAGTGATGATAGGTGATATGGCAATATATTGTAATAATAATAATCAGAATCAGAATCAGAATCAGAAGCTTTATTCAAGCTTTATTCAAGCTTTATTGGCCAGGTATGCTTACACATACAAGGAATTTGGTTTTGGTTACAGGAGCTCACAGTGCGCAGTACCAGACAGACATTTACATGTAGTGAATAAAATAAATTAAATATAAAATATAACAAAATAAAATAAAATAAAATATGTCGCCTCACAGCAAGAAGGGCCTGGGTTCGATTCCCGGCCGGGTGACCAGGGTCATTTCTGTGTGGAGTTTGCATGTTCTCCCTGTGTCTGTGTGGGTTTCCTCCGGGTACTCCGGTTTCCTCCCACAGTCCAAAAACATGCAGTCAGGCTGATTGGACGTGCTAAATTGCCCCTAGGTGTGAATGTGTATGTCTGTCTGTCTGCCCTGCGATGGACTGGCGACCTGTCCAGGGTGTATCCTGCCTTCCGCCCAATGACAGCTGGGATAGGCTCCAGCACCCCACCGCGACCCAGAAGGATAAGCGGTTTAGAAGATGGATGGATGGATGGATGCATTCCTAGCATCACTCACACACACAGTCATACCTGTAAACCTTACATTGTGCAAAGTATGGGTCTAAAGTTAAAGTGCTGAGTGCAGCAGCAGTTAAAGGGTGTATAGTGGCAGAGAAAGGGATCAGTGAGGTGACAGTCCGATAGAATGAACACTGGTTTGAGGCGGCAGTTCCAGAGGATGGAGTTGAATTATACTATATACCAGTATTTATGAAGTGCAGCTAGTTAATTCATGATAAACACAATAAAGTCATGATACACTACGCTACGTACTGTCAGTGTTTAAAGAACAAACAGTAACTGCATGTTTGACTAAAAAGACGTTTAGTGGCTTCAGTGTGGTGTAGGTGTCACAAACAGGACATTATGAGTTCAAACTGAATCTAAGAGTGCATAACTGGTCCTGTTTCTCAGTGTAGGAAACTGATTGTCTGTTATATCTATTCTAGTACTTTAGAAAAACAAAATATCACAGTATGTAACATTAAAATGTATTGATAATTTTTTGTTATAATTTCTTTTTTAACTGTAAAATGTAACATATATAACACTATTGATTGTGATCAGTATTATAATCACAACCACAGCAGCTTCGCAGAGGAATTGCCAGTTATGGTTAAAAAAAAAAAGAAAAAGAAAGAAAAAAGGCAAACAAAAAATGTGAACGTTTCATAAATTAGTACAAAGCCTCAAAATTTCAGGCCATTTAATATCCAGGCAGAAAAAAAGGAGGCAGAATTTCAAACAGGCAAGTATGTCCCATTTAAAAATTAGAAACCATAAACAAAGGCACTGGATTTCTTTCATCGAGTCCTTGTAACGTGGTGAGAGACAAAGCAGACAAAGTAGCAGGATACAAGTGCGAGATTGGTGTTTCATTGTTGTCCATGATGAAGGCATTTTAAGCCAAGAACAAAAGGAAACGTTAAACAAGGCAACTAAAGATACTGGAAGAACCAACGGTAACACTTTCTATGAATGTCACGTTTGTAAGCATCTATAAACACATTTATAACATGTTATAATGCCTTCATACGGCATTATGAACATGATTATAAACATTTATAAAAATGAATTACACTGGATTACACTTTATAGCCATGTTTATTATACATTATGAATTGTTAATATAATGCATTATAAATAGTGTTAATAGCATGTTATACTGTCAGTGCTAAAGAAGTCAGTCCCAGCTTGGAGAGCGTAAAGACAAATACCAAGCTAACGGTGGTGTACATTACCTTTCCCACATTGGGTAAAACACTGATGGCAGCTCTAGTTTAAACTCTGACATTTGAAGCCTGTAATGTGCTTTACTGTGTATGTTTTAGTGTTTCAGTAAATCCTTCAGTAAATACTTCAACTTGAAGCCTCACTCTTAACACTGGAGGAGGCTTTAGTACAGTACGCTTCACTTTACTTAGAGCGGACAAATACAACTTATGAGCTCTTATAATTTGTTATGATCAGTACTTATAATGCATCATGTTAACAATTCATAATGCATAATAAACATGGCTATAATATATAATGCATTTTTATAAATATTTATAGCCATGTTTATGATGCCTTATGAAGGCATTATAACATGTTATGAATGTGTTTATAGATGCTTACAAAGGTGACATTCATAGAAAGTGTTACCGAACCAACAAACAGAACTGAGTACAAACGCTAGGAAACTAAGACACAAAACCAGAGCCTGAGAACAAACAATGCCAAGAAAGGTCTAAGACAAACACAAGGGGAGTATAAACTGGGCAACATGATTGAGAAACACCTGGGAATGACTACACGATGGGGCTACAGACAAGACACAGGAGAGAGGCATGACAAAAGGGCAGAGGAAGGGAGGAGCAGGAAAACCAAAACAAAAACATGAGCACATGGACGGAGACATAAGGGAAAACAAAGACAAGAGCAAAGCTGGGCAGGATATTAATGTCCTTTAAAGGGCAACTTCCAATTCATTCTCTTTGAACTCCATGTCAAGCAGGTAAAGTAAACATCATAGTTAAAGCTAACTCCACTCAGTACTCTCTGGGTGATCGGATAGGTGGGACGTTCTGCTGATAAACAACTGATGGGCGCCATCCTGAGTAGGGATGAACTGATATGGGAACTGTGGACCGATGCAAAGACATCTCATATTTTTCATATACACATCTGCCTGAGCTGATACTGACGCCAATACATAAACGTTTATAAAATGTAGAAATTAGAACTAGATCCAGCTGGAATAGCAGATACAATAAATACATAATCAAATATCAGTTTGAAATATTTAACCTTTCCAACTCCTCGGGACCACCGGTGGTTCCAAAACGCACTTCGTCATATTCTTCATAACTTTCATATTTCATAAGCTACATTCTAAAGGTGGGGGTCGTATGAGAGCTGTAACTGTCTTCTTTCCAGTCAAATAGATGGGTGATGTAATTTTAAACCCTTATAATAAACGAAGCTGAACTCTTTTTTTTTCCACAAATCTGGGCTATAAACTATAAACAGATGGCGTCTCTTCAGTGATCTGCTCTGTAAAAACTATTTTTATAAAATAATAAAAATAATACAATAAAATAAAGACCGTCTGAGATTTTTGGCTTTCAGCAGTAAATTGTAATCATATAGCAATATGTGTATCATCATAAAACACATGTTCTGTTAATTTGAGGGGAGCTTTTACAAAAAAAAATAATAATAATAAAATAAAAATTTACATTTATTTCATGCAGTTACTGAATAATTTGCCTTACGATTTGGTCATGGAAATTCAGATGGACAAACCAAAATATACCCTGGAGAATAAGAGGTTAAACATCTGTATGAGAAACAGAAATGACAAAGAGCTTAACTTTTAGTGACTCCTGAATGAACCACATACAGTAAAATGTGTGTCAATAAGGTCTGGAACAGGAGGAGTACCAGCCTCGGATCAGTTGTTGTCATATCCTAATAAACAGAGCCTGGGCCACTAGGATAAACACTCTTACACTGAGATCTTTGATGCAGATGGGCTCTGATATAAGTCTCTAAGTATCTGGGTCAGAGAGACCCACAGCAGACCCACTTCTCCTCCTTCAAAGCTGTATTTTGAGACCACACTAGCTAAATGCCAGAAACAGAGATTTGGACTTGGCAGTGGTCCTTGTCAGAAAGTTCCAGAACGGCTGTCATGGCGAAGCTCTAAAGCAGCGGTCTCTCGGCATGCGGCAGCTCATGGGGGAGCTAGAGTGGTTCTTCGGTCCGCGGAGCTGCTTGCCTTGACAGTCCCGAAGGTAGTCTCCATTACACCTGTCATGTGCTCTGCAGTAACTTCTGGGTCCATTGCAGTTGCCCTATGGAATCAAACAGAATATATTCTGATTGACTCCAGCTTAGCTCACAGCTGGAAAATGCTTGCCCAGTGGTCCAGCACCCATCTGGTCTATTATGAATCACGTGTGGGCAGTCATATGATTTAACAGAGAGAAATATCGGTTTTCCATTTGAAATGGCCACACTCTGGGAAACACTGATTCCTGTGTGATGGTGCATTGAAAACAAAAGAGACCAAAAATAATAGGTCAGCTGTTGTCTATGAG